AAAAAAAAAAAAAAAAAAAAAAAAAAAAAAGTGTCAGAGTTAAAAGTTAAGGGTCAAACCAAGGTCCTCTGAGTCCAAAATCAACCTGAACTTATACCCACTCCTTGAATCTTTCAGTCAAATCTCTTGAACACAGGAGGATAGAACCTTCCCAACTGAGTGGTTTAAACAGGAGTTACAAAGGAGGCCTCACTCCATTTCGTCTGCCTTCACCAACTTCTGGCTAGATTATCTGAGGGGAGAGGCAGGCATTGGGTAATGCCAGTGAGTGAGCTTCGACGTAACCAATATCCACACACAGAGAGCTTCCACACTATCCAGGGAAAGGTGCTGGGCGCCAGGGGGCTGCAGGAGAAGGATAAATACAGGGTCCCCGCCCTACAGAGAGTACAGGTCAGGAATCACACACGTAACTCTGCTGCAGAGCGGCGTGTGGCAGAGTTAACTGCCCAGGTCTGGATCAGGTAGAGCCAAGTTCAGATTCTATCTCTGACACTTCCTAGCAGTATGACCTTGGGCAACTCAGTGTCCTTGTGTGTTCAGTAGGGATATTCTGAGCACCTCTTCCAAGCACTTTTTTAAAGACAGAGTCTGGCTCTGTCACCCAGGCTGGAGTGCAGTGGTGCTATCTCGGCTCATTGCAACCTCCGCCTCCTGGGTTCAAGCAGTTCTCCTGCCTCAGCCTCCTGAGTAGCTGGGACTATAGGCATGCAGCACCATGCCTAGCTAATCTTTGTGTTTTTAGTAGAGACAGCGTTTCACCATATTGGCCAAGCTGGTCTTGAACTCCTGACCTTTTGATCTGCCCATCTTGGCCTCCCAAAGTGTTGGAATTACAGGCATGAGCCACTGTGCCTGGCCCCAAGCACTTTTTAAAAAATCTCTTTTGAGGCAGTCTCGCTCTGTCACCTAGGTTGGAGTGCAGCGATGCAATCTCGCCTCACGCGTCACTGCAACATTTGCCTCCCGGGTTCAAATGATTCTCTTGCCTCAGCCTTTTGAGTAGCTGGGACTACAGGCGTGCACCACCACACCCAGCTAATTTTTGTACTTTTAGTAGAGACGGGGTTTTGCTGTGTTGCCCAGGCTGGTCTCAAACTCCTGTCCTCAAGTGATCCACCCACGTTGGTCTCCCAAAGTGCTATGATTACAGGTGTGGGCCACCATGCTCAGCCCCAAGTGCTTTTGTGAGTATTAAAAGTCGACTGAAGATAAAGCACTCAGCCTCGTGCTTGGCCTAGAGGAAATGTTCAATAAATATTAATTATTATCATTATTATTAATGTTAGAGGAAACAAAGTGTTATCAGCAGATGGAAAAGGGAGAGCTGCAGACAGTACACACAGAGTAGCCAACTGGTTCCCTCAGTACTGTCCTGCTTTCGCTGAAAATCCCACACCCCAGGAAACTCGTCAGTCCCTGGCACACTGGGACTGCTGGTCGCCCTAGCACATGGCTTCATGGCACATGCAGGGGGTGCTGTTGATGACCCACTTGGACCCCTTTTACTGGGTTAGTGCACCCATCCCCCAGCTGCTAACAGCTTACAGCTACCCCTTTGCGGGGCCTACCCTCCACTGCCTTGCCTACAGGGTTATGTGGCCCTTCCCTTGGCACCGCCAGGCAATGGTGGACCCACATGAGAACAACAGTCCAGATCAGAGCCCTGCATGGGATCAGGCTGACGCTGAGGTCCCATCTTTGCCTCGCTGTCTCCATCCCTGTGCTTCCTGCCTTACCACATCCTTTCTCCTGAACACATACCCTCCATAAATGTCCATACCTAAACCCCTGTCTCAGGCTCTGCGCCCAGGGGACCTGAGTTAACACAGAAAAGGATGCCATTTTTTTTTTAGTTCAAATCTTTATTAATAATAAATGAATGCAAAATAATAGTAAAAATTTGCATACTTCCACAGAGATTATTTACACATGGAATTTTAAAATTGTAGTGCATTCTTTGTTAGAGAATGCTAATGCTGTTTTTTTGTTTTTTTTTTTTAAAGTATAGTTTTAGATTTACAGAATAACTTTTTTTTTGGAGACAGAGTTTTGCTCTTGTTGCCCAGGCTGGAGTGAAATGGCGCCATCTTGGCTCACTGCAACCTTGCCTCCTGGATTCAAGTAATTCTGCCTTAGCCTCCTGAGTAGCTGGACTTACAGGCGCCTGCCACCATGCCTGGCTAATTTTTGTATTTTTAGTAGAGGCAGGGTTTCACCACATTGATCAGGCTGGTCTCAGATTCCTTACCTTAGGTGATCTACCCACCTTGGGTGGGATTGCAGGGGTGAGCCACCGTGCCCAGCCAATTTACAGAATAATTGAGCAGATAGTCCATAAAGTTCCATACAACCACGCCATTCATATCCTCCTTCCCCAGAAGTTTCCTCTATTATTAACATCTTGCATTAGTGCAGTAATGTGTTACGAATAGCGACCCAACATTGACATGTTATTGAGCACAGTCCATAGTTTCCATTGGGCTTACTCTTTGTGTTGTATTATTCTTTAGGTTTTGACAAATGCATAATGACATGTTCGTACAATGACGTGTCATACAGAATAGCATCACGGCCCTGTGCTTCCCCTACACAGAGGGGAGCATTTGAACCAGTCGTTGCAGAGGGCCTGGGAGTTCCAACAGGTGGAGGAGGAGCAAAAGCAGTGAAAGCAGAGGAAGCAAGGTGACAAAGCCAGGCGCAGCAAAGTCTTCTGTTCTGGGCTCTCCTCACTTACACCAGACACAGAGCTCAAGCTTGCCTGTGTTGGGAGAGGCGAGGAAAGAGATAGCACCTCTTCCACTCTTCCTTGGTCCTCGGCACTGGACCACACCACGCCAGCTTTTAGCTGCTCTTTCCTTGATCTCACATGGACCTGCACACATACACACATGCACATGTATCCATACAAACACATGCACACATGCATACACACCCGCACATGTGAACACACATATATGTACATGCACATACCCCCATATGTACCCGCATACATGTATATACACACACACACACACACACCCCACCTGAGGACCCACGGTGGTCTGTCAATATGAATGCATCAGGAACTTCGATTGGCGTCAAACATTGCCTGAGTGCACACTTTGTCACATGGGAAGAGGTTTCAGGTCTCCAGACTTCTTGCCCCAGTGACACGTAGAGAGCCATCCTGCAGCTGGTGCACAGGATGAGAAGCTGGAGGTTGGGGAGGAGTTTGTGATGTTCGAGGCCTTGGCTGACCCCCAAGAGGGGACACAGGCCTTGATGGCGGGAATGCTCCCTTCCCAGCACAGGGGAGTTGAGCATGAGGCCCTGTTGTTACCAAGTAGATACTCAGAAAGCACGCTGGCTAGTCGTGTTTTTTTTTTTTTTTTTTTTAAAAGAAATGGTTTTTCAGCCTAGGTGACAGGGTGAGAGCCTTTCTCAGAAATAAATAAATAAAACAAAGTAATGATTTAAAGGAGTGCTTGCCAAAGTATCTGTGATGAAGGACCCATTTTTAAATGTTTCAAAATATTCAATCCATTATGGACAGATCATTTTATAAAGTACAACAAAAGCACATTATTAGAAAAATGAAATTAACCAGATGTACAAAACATGAGACCAATTTTTAAATTTTTACATATAATAGATATAAATAGAAATCATCCTGCCAAACTGCTATAAACTTTCTAAATGCTTACTCTCAGTTTCTTATCAGAGACCAGTAACATCCAGAGGGCAGGTGGGAGCCAGTCTGCACCACACTTGGAGCAGGGTGGGTTTAAAGCATGTACTTCAGGGTCAGTGAGACCTGGGTTCAAATCCTGCCTCTGCCACCTACTGGCTGAGTATCCAGCCACCTGAACTTCCTGAGCCTCGGTTTCCTCATCTGTGAAATAGGGAGAGCAGCAGCTCATTGCGAAGAATGTGCAGTGACGCACATCAGGCCCTGGCCACTGTGCTTGGCACAGATCCCTCCTAGCTCATTGTGTTTCTTCTGTTGGGCTCTGCTGGGCATAGTGGGTGGCCTGGGGAAGAGGACCTAGTTGGATGCAGCCCCTGCTCCCTGAACTTGGATGTGGCAGAAAGAGCCGGTGATTCCTGGCATAAGAGAGGATCATGTAAAGGGCTCAAGGAAGGAAGAGTACATTGTTTTCGGCTGGGGAGGTAGAACCTGAGTGAGGTCTTAAAGCAAGAGGTGATTCAGTAGGATGGGAAGAGGGAGGGTAAAGTTCTGTAATGGGGTCACCAGGCAGTAAATGGGGAAAGAACAGGCCAGTCTGGGGGAGAGGCTAGAAAAGCAGGCTGGGGGCTGGATGCGGTGGCTCACGCCTGTAATCCCAGCACTTTGGGAGGCCAAGGCAGGCAGATCACGAGGTCAGGAGATCAAGACTATCCTGGCCAATATGGTGAAATTCCGTCTCTACTAAAATACACAAAAAATTAGCCAGGCGTGGTGGCGTGTGCCTGTAGTCCCAGCTACTCAGGAGGCTGAGGCAGGGGAATTGCTTGAACCTGGGCAGCAGAGGATGCTGTGAGCCGAGATCGTGCCACTGTACTACAGCCTAGGTGATACAGCAAGACTCCATCTCAAAAAAAAAAAAAAAAAAAAAAAAAAAAAAGCAGGCTGGGGTCAGATCAGAAGCTCAAGGGCTGTGAAGGGACTGGATTGTGATGGGGTCAGTGCAGGGAGCCAGGAAGGGTTGTGGGAGAGTGACCTGCCCCATCCTTGAGGTGGAAAGATCACCCAGGCTCAATAGGGAAATTGTGTTGGCTGGAAGAGGGATGGGGGCCAGGAGACCCCATGGAGGTGTCCTAGTGGCAGCCCCCAGGGCTGCCATAGGTGCCACTGCTGAGGCTGAGTGCACGGGTTGGGTCAGGTGTGGGTTCAGTGGCTCAGGGGGCTGGCGCTGGGCAGAAGTGCCCAAGCACATCAGAGGCAGACTGTGGCTCCACACTCCGGCCCCCTGGGAGCCTGCTGGCCGACATTTACCCCACATCCCAGCCATCCCCAAAGCTCCTTGACAGCAGAAAAAAATTCATAGCCATTGATTTTGTAATTAACAGTTTATCAATGCCATCGATACAGACCTGCTGATGGATTGCAAAGAAATTAATCTTGCAATATTATTTTATTTCATTTTTGGTCGAAGGCAGCTGCCAATTTTGGCCTCCTTGGGGAGAGTGGGGAGGAGGATGGAGAGGGTGGGGAGAGGGAGCTGGCAGGAGTTAGGAGCCAGATGGCAGGGCCCAGCCATGTTAGGTGTAGGAATGGGGCCATGCTTCATGTCCTACCCGATGACGAAGGAGGGCTCACTGCCTTGGTAGCAGGGAGCAGGAAAGTGTGGAAGAGGCTTGGGTATGGGGCCAGTGAAGACCCAGCCCTGCAAGGGCACTCACCCCCAGCTGAGTCCCCACAGGAGTGATAACATGACCTGACATTGATTAGGTGCTGACCAAGCTCTGAGTAACGTGCTGCTTCAGTCACCCTCACCACCACCCTGTGAGTCCGCATCCCCGTGTTTTACAGCCAGGACAGGCCCAGCTGTAACGTGGCTGTCAGCAGGTGCCTCCCTGCCATGCTGGGATTTAGGTACATTTTGTTTGAACCCCTAGTTCATGGCCTAAGTTCAAAACCTTCCCCAAGATTTTAGAGAATTCCCAACACCCCAATTTTAGAGCTCTCTCCATCACCGCGCCCCATGCTGCCACCACGGGGCACCCTGATACGGAGCTCAGCCCCTGTATCTGTGCCTGTATTCTGTGTCCTATAATCAGAATTTTGTCAGGTTAGCAGTTGCACTGAAGACTTGGGGAGCTGGCGCCTGGCAGGCATTTGCAGTGGTTGTCAAGGTAATAGTATTGTAGGGGCCAGGGGCGGTGGTGGGGGTGATACCGCTAGCAGGGCATTGACTTGTGACAAGTTCTGTTACAAACCCTTGACCTGCTTAACTTCTTTAAGCCTCTGAGGTAGGTATGGCTATTGTGTCATTTTACAAGTGAGGAAAATGAGGCACAGAGAAGTTAATCACTTGCCTAAAGTCACACAGCCTGCAAGTAGGGGACACAAGATTCCAACAGTCTGGCTCCAGGGTCTCTGCTGCCACCCCCTGGTGACCTCTTGAGAAATGTCCTCTGTAGATGCCAGTCTCTCCCTGGGTTCGAGTCCCAGCTCTGTCATTAGCTTCTGTGACCTGAGACTGGCAGTTAACCTCTCTGAGCCTCAGACAGTCTCTCCCTGGGTTCGAGTCCCAGCTCTGTCATTAGCTTCTGTGACCTGAGACTGGCAGTTAACCTCTCTGAGCCTCAGACTGGCTCTCTGTGAAGCGAGGGTTATGAAGCGCCCCCTGCCTGCCTGCATCCTGTCTCCTGGATCCTGAGATGGCCCCCATGCCAGTGAGCACCTCCCGGCCAGGCCTGCTAATGCTCGTCCTTGTGCCTACAGATTCCATGTACATCGAGGATCTGGAGGCTGTCCAGAAGCTGCAGGACCTGCTGCACGAGGCGCTGCAGGACTACGAGCTGAGCCAGCGCCACGAGGAGCCCCGGAGGACGGGCAAGCTGCTGCTGACGCTGCCCCTGCTGCGGCAGACGGCTGCCAAGGCCGTGCAGCACTTCTACAGCGTCAAACTGCAGGGCAAGGTGCCCATGCACAAACTCTTCCTGGAGATGCTGGAGGCCAAGGTCTGATGGCCCCGCACACGGACCATGCCCACCTGCAGACAGACAAATGGACAGACCGAGGTGGAGCCCTCCACAGCCACCAGCCTCCACCTTCAACCCCTGGATCATGGCTCTGAGCTGTCCCAGAGGCAGGGGTTTCTCGCTCCTGGCTGTGTGCAGACTCCCGGGTGCAGTGGGGTGGGGGACGGGGATGGGGGGGCAGGGGCGTGGGGCTCGTCTGTAACTGGCTTTTTCTTTGGTATGTCTTTCCTTCTCCATGGGCAGTGCGGAGGCCTGGGCCAGGGCTGACTCCCTTCGGGAGTGGAGACCACTGGAGCAAGTGCCCCTCCCCTCCACCAAACCACTAAGAGGCAGCATGTGCATTTCCTAACTCCCTTGCCCCCCACCCCATCCATGGCCTGGGTGGGCAGTGCTCAGGCTGGGTACCACCTGGAGGTTTTCCTTCTGCAGAGGGCAGGTACTCAAGGGACAACAGCATCTTTCTTCCAGAGGCCCTGCCTGCTGCCCTCGAGAGCTCCATACCTCCCACAGTCCCCATTCAGCTTTCAGCCAGAGCGGACCCACAGGAGAGCAGCGACTAGAGCTCACATGTTTCCTGGGCACCCCACCCCCTCGGGGCCTGCCCCCTGCCTGTCACCCACCATGCCAGTGCCCACCTGTCCTCCTCCTCCTCCCCCAGGAGTCCTCCGCTACTTCCTGACCCTACCTCAGAGCTCACTCACCCAGTGGGTTCAGCCAGCCACGGTGACTCCAGGGCCTGTAGACAGGAACGTGCTGGCACAGAGAAGAGCGGGGGCCGCACCATTCTCCCCAGAACCCTTTCTCGCTTCCTGCCTTCCCCCTGTTCCTGAAGGGCAGGTGTAGGCCAGCTGGGCCCGTGAAAAGCTCAGGAGCCTGGCTGCATCCGAGAGCACCCTAGGGGGAGGATCAGGGCAGGATGGGCAAAGGCCCAAACCAATCTTCGCCAAGCACAGAAAGGCCCAGCAGCTGAGAGAAGTAGGTGGAGGGGCCCCGAAGGGAGGGAGCTCAGCGGGGCGGCCAGCCTCATCCTCCCTGGCTTTCCTTCTCTGCACTCCACATCATGCCGCAGGGCTGGCATGCTAGCGCCACAGGAAGGTGGCCTCCCGCCACCCTTGCACAACCAGAGGCTTGGTGTAGCTCCCCTGGGCACTGTGTGCACACCAGCTCTCTGGCAGGACCCCTGCAGTCCCCCTGACTGCTGTGCCGGGTGACCAACCATCCCAGTTTGCCCAGGATGTTCCTTTGTCCCAGGAAACTCCTCAGCCCCAGGCACATGGGGACAATGGGTCACCCTGTTTCTGTGGATGGCCACGAAGGTTTTCACTGACTCAAGGGGCAGCCCTGAACACCCATCTGTGCTCGCAGGTTGGTAAGGGCAGCTTAGAGGATCTCCCAAGGACAAAAGAGTATCAAGCCAGGATGGAAAATGCCCCTTCTAATCAGCTGCCTGCGCAAGCAGGGGTCAGAGCAACCCCGCGGGGATCCCCATCCACGACCTTGTAGTCCAACCTGCCTCATCGAGAGAGGCAGGCCGATCTCACCCAGCACTGGGATACCAGGAGGCCAGGTGCCTTTCTGCAGCTTTTCCATTGAAACCCTGGTCCCGCCTCCCTGGATCTACCCTAGGAACCTCGTGTTGATGACCTGCTGAGGTCGTCCAGACAGGAGGGAGAGCTGGCCGAAATCCACAAAGTGCAGAGCAGCTCTCTGATGGTGTCCCATATAGAAAATGTTAAGGATTTCAAGAGCCCTCCCAGAGCAGGGACATGTCCACCCTACTCCCCTTGCCTATGGGAAATCAGGTCTGAGTCACTTGAGGAGTGGGCATTGCGCCATCACCCAGGATGCTGCATCCGTCGCCCTCCATGCAGCCCCTCTTCCCTGATCTGGATGGAGGCGCACATTCGGGGCGAAGGCCCCTCCTCAGTGTCAAGGAACACCAGCTGCAGACCAAGTCTAGCAGTGTTTAGAGCTTGCGCCCTGAGAGCCTGCTCTGGGGAAACCTTCACAGTCGAGACCTTGGGGTGTGCTCCATGGGGCTCCCTTAGCCTCACTGTGCTGTGTCCTTGCAGCGGGGCAGTGGTGGCACCCTGCTCTGTCACTTCCTGCTCAAGCTGGAGGACCCAGGTGGCATCTGCTGCCCATCTTTCCTAGGGAAAGCATCTCTGGCTCAGCGTGCAACATCTGGCTTGGAGCGGGTGGGCGTTCTGTGCACCCGGCAGCTGCGCCTCTAGCACAGTGGGGCGGAAGTCCTGATAGTTGGTGTCCATGAGGTGGAAGCTGCTTTTACACTTAAAACTCACATCACGACAGGAAACGTATTCATAACAATGGAACTCCATCCAATGGGAAAGTTCCTGGTACTGAAGGGATCCATTGGATGCTCAGAAAAGAAGTTTAGGAGCCAACTTCTTAGCTGGAAGCCTGGTCAGATGAAGACCCTCTTTAGGGAAGGAAGAGGACTGACGTGGTGGGAGGTGGTGAAGTAAGGAGAGGTTAGGGGACCCTCCCCCCAGTGGAACAGAGCTCAAGTTTACCCCAAACCTGCCATTTCTGGGAAGTGTGTAAAGAGGAAACAGCCTGTCTCAGTTGTACTCTCATGATACAGGTCATTTGAAATGAACCAAGAAATAAAATATAAAAATCCAACCATGGAGAAGGTGGTATGGCTGGGTTTTGTTTGGTCCCCTTGTCTTCATCTGTTCTGAAGTTTCCAGACTGGCTTTGTCACTTTGTGAACTTGTCATGTGTGAAACCCGATCTTTGCATATAGGGAACTTCCTCAGGCCACACTTTAAGAACCAAGTAAGAGGCTCTCAAGACTCCAGCAGAGTCGGGCGGGCAGAGCCTCAGAGGAGCTAGAACCTGTATCCACCTGTGTCGGGGCCCCTTTCCCCATAGACTCCGCCCTCCCTCTGTGCAGATAGAAGTGGAGGGTGACAAGAAGACTGAAGGGTCCAGAGTCCATGCTCACGGAACAGCACCAAAGAAAAGCACTATGTGGAAAGATTGTTTTATTTTCTAATAATGATAATATGGCTGGAATGGCTTCTTAAGATGTATATATTTTTTAAAATGGCAGTTCCCTCTTGCAGCATCACCTACTTGTACGTCTTTCCGCCTCTGTATATGTTCTCCCAGAGACCCCCATGTAAATCAAATGCCCTAGGATTCTTCCATCCTGGTCCCATGTATCTGGAATCTAATAAATAAGGAAAGGCCTATTGAGTTTCTTCACACATTGTCTTTCTGGGCTGACTGTCCCCTGGATGGCACTGCCCTTGGGTCTCAGGCCAAGGCTAGGAGAGGCCATTGGGAGAGGCAGCCCAGCCTCCATGTTCCTTGGGGAGTCCCATGGTGTCATTTTAAAAGCGTGTTCAGCAGCAAAGCTCAGGAGTGCAACTTGAGAAGTATGATGTAGTTCTGAGAAGCTCCCTGTTGCTTTTACACTTTTGATATTAATGGTAAAGCAATTGATTATTTTCACTAAAGCCAGAGAAATGAGATAGCAGATGTAAGTGAATGAAGACCAATTCACTGGCTTAGGATTTTGAATTGCTTCTGTGACACACACAACACTGATAGCACAGCCCACGTGTTATTCCAGGACACACTCAGGACCAGTGAGAAACAGAGGGGAGATCAAGCATGATATTTCGAGATACCTTTTGTTGCACGTAAAAGACACCTCAGCTTATACTGGCTTACTGGATTTATATGTGAAGTCCACAAGTGGGGTAGACATCAGGCAGGGTTTGATCCAGAAGTTCACAAAGTAAATAGGGTTATGGTTCAACTTTTCCTATTCCCTCATTTCTTCTATGTGTTTGTTTCATCCCCAAGCTAGTCTCTTTCCTGGTAGCAAGAAGGTGGTCAATTTTTTGTTTCCCACCCTGGGAGATAAAGAAAATCTCTTTCTCCAAGCATGGAAAATGTCTGCACTTCGTGTGGTTTGTGTGGTCCCTTAATGAATCACCATGACTACCTTGGGTTAGAATCACTTCCATGCCATGGCCTGGCTGCTGCACCGTGGGAAAGGGGTGGGTTGGTAGTCTAGAAGACAACCGGCCAACCGTAACGCCCGCAGAACCCTCATATGTGGACAGCTCAGGGTCTGGCCAGCTTTCAGTGAGAGGTCTGTAAGTCTCCTGAAGCTCGTGGAAGAAACACATGGTTATCTTTGCTCTCAGCACCTAGCTGGTCTCATGCATGATATGCATTATGTACTTGTGGGAATGAAAGTACTCAATTTGTAGATTCTTTTTAGGTAATTCACCTTAAAAGAATGCACACACAGCTGGTATTCATGCTGTTATCGTAAGAAAAAAAATAATTAGGAAAGAAAGTCAACTGTAATATGTAATGCAGTCAAAATGAAATCTTTATTTGATGATCTGCATGCTAGGATTTTCTGTGCTACTTTTTCCATTTATACATGTAACTGTGATCAGACCAACGAAGAGCTCATATTTTCAAGACTTAACCTCATCGATGTCCTCATCTCCAGTCATTTTCTAGTCTCTCTCTCTCTCTCTCTCTCTCTCTCTCTCTCTCTCTCTCTCTCTCTCTCTTTTGTTAGCATAAAAGTGAAGCTTCAAAAAAAGGGGAAAGGCCGGGTGTGGTGGCTCATGCCTGTAATCCAAGCACTTTGGAGGCCAAGGTGGGTGGATCACCTGAGGTCGGGAGTTCAAAACCAGTCTGACCAACATGGTGAAACCCCGTCTTTAGAAAAAAAAAAAAAAGAAGAAGAAGAAAGAAAGGGGAAAACCTCAACTAATAGTCATTCATTCATTCTTTTATTCATTCAACAAATCTTTACTGAGGCTCCACCCTGTTCCAGGCCCTGTTCTGGGCATGGAGACAATCTCCGTAAAGAGAACCAAATCCATCTTCACAGAGCACACAATCTACTGGGAGGAAGAGAGAGAAAACAGGCATAGCAAATAACCAAATTCTAGTTTGTTAGAATGTTATAAATTCTGTGAGTTGCGGGGGAAGCAAGGTATGGGTGATCAGAAATGGGTGGTGGCTACAATTTTAAAAGGAGGGGTCAGAACAGTCTCAATGAGGATGTTACATTCAACAGTAAAAGTTAAAGTGAGGATTGTGTGGGTGTCTGGAGGGAAAGCTCTTCAGGCAGAGAGAGCAGCCAGGCCCTGGGGCAAGAGTATGTTTGGCATATTCAGTAAACATCAATGAAAGGAATGTGGCTAAGGTTCCTGGTACTGAAGGGATCCACTGGACGCTCAGAAAAGAAGTTCAGGAGCCAACTTCTTAGCTGGAAGCCTGGTCAGATGAAGACCCTCTCTAGGGAAGGGAGAGGACTGACTTAGTGGGAGGTGGTGAAGTGAGGAGAGTTTAGGAATGTGTGAGGCCCTGGGGAATAAGGGACATGAGGTCATAGTAAGTGTGGCTTGCAACTCTAAGAG